CTGTTTACAAGAAGTACAGCTAAAACCATAAATAACTTTCCCCAGTAAGTTTGAAAATTCAAAGACAGAAACAAATAATATAGTTTTTAAATCAATGTAATGTGCCTCAAAAGAAACAAAAATGTAACTTAGTCAACCTGATTCAAGAAGAAACAGAAACGTTAAATGGCCATATAACATTTAAATGGTAAAGCGGTTTCCTCTCCTCCCAACCCATCCCCTTTAACGGTGGGTAAATGACAACAAGGTTCAAGGGAGTTCTGCCAAGTAAACAATCCTCTGAGACTACTCCAAAACACAGAAAATAAGAAAATCTTCCTAAATTCATTTATGTGGCTAAAATAACCTTGATAACAAAACAGCAAAGAAAACTACAGGTCTATTTTACTTATGACTATATCAACAAAACAAATCCAGTAATACTCAGAAATTTGTAATATCACATGGTAGGATTTTCCCCAGAAACCTAAGAGTGGTTTTAAATGAGAAGGTCTGCTATTATAAATTATAATCTACACATGCAGAGAAAACTGAGCACTAATCATAATTCCTACAAGGGGAAGAAGGGGAGCGAGGGAAGAATGGAGGAAGAGAAGGAGGAGAAGGGGAGGAAGAGAGAAAGGAAATTATGGAGCCACATCCCTCATGAATATAAATGCAAAACTGTTGAAAAAATATTATTAAATGAAGCACTATAAAAAAAATAATTCATCATGACCAAATGAAGCTTATTTCAGGAATGCAAGGATTTAACATTCACAGTATCAATAAATATAATTTACCACATTAGTAAAATAAGGATGAAAAGCACCATGATCATATTGATTAGAGAAAAAAACATTTGACAAAATTCCCAACTTAAAAATAGAAAGGAATTCCCCCAATCCATTAAAAAGCATCCAAATAACACCTAGAATTTCACATTATATTCAATGGTAAAATGACAAACACTTTGTCACTAAAATCAGGAACAACGCAAGAATGCTTCCTCTCACCATTTCTATTCAACAACGGTACCGGTGGTCCTAGATTTGCACAGTAAGGCAAAAAAAAGAAATAAAAGGTATAGAGACTGGAAACAAAGTAAGACTCTCTCTATTGGTAGGTGACATGATATTTACATAGAAAATCCCAAGGAATCTGTTTTCTTAACTACTAGAATTAATATATGCATTATGAAAGGTAATATAATATAAGGTAAAAGTATGAGTTTTGTGTGCATATACAAGCAGAAAATAATGGAAAATAATTTTGGTAAATGTCACAAACAACAGCTTAAAAAGTATAATTTAGAAAAATATTTAACAAAAAATATGTAAGATCTTAAAAGCAAAAACTACACAAGGCGAAAGGAAATTACAGGCCTAATTAAAGAGCTACAACACTGCCATGGATAAGAAGACTCAACATCACCCAAACTTGGTCTATACATTCAACGAACTCTAATCATAAACCCTAGCATACTCTACTGAGTGGATATTAACTGATTCTAAAATTTATATGAGTACACAAAGGACCTAGAATATCCAGAGCTATCCTAAAAGAAACCACAAAGTTGGAGGATTTATACAACTGAATTTAAGACTGACTATATAGCTAGAGAAATCAACAATGTGTGGTAAAGACATATGGACAAATAGACACCTGTGTGTTCCCCTCCACAAAATAAAAACAATAGAGAGCCTGGAAATAAACTTATTATAAGACTACATATATCATATCATATCATATATTATATTATCATTTGCTTTTTGACGGCACCAAAAACATTCCAATGATGAGATGAACCATAGATCTAAATATAAAACTAAAACTATAAAATTTCTAGAGCAAAATATAAAATAGCTTTGTAAGTTGGGAATAGGAAAAAAGTTTCCAAGACAAGGTACAGAAAGCAAAGATCGTAAAATAAAAAATAAATAAATTAATTAAATTAAATAAAAATCAACATTAAAAATATCTGCACTTCAAAAAAGACTATTAAGAAAATGAAAAGGTTAATTATTGGTTGGGAAACATATTTATAATATTTATCTGAAAAGAGCTTCTATCCAGAATATATAAAAATTATAGTTCAAAAACAAAAAGCAATAAAAAGGACTGAAAGAGCTAAAGAGAAACTTCACAAAGGAAGATAATGTGTATGGCCAATAAGGACAAGAAAAAGTACATGACAACATAGTTGTGGTTTTAAACTACAGTGAGAAACCACAAAACACATACCAAAATGGCTAAAATTAAGAAGACTGGAGATGGGGGTGGGGGGATGGTGGTGGTGGAAAATTTAAAAATAAAGAAAGAAAGAAAGAAAGAAAGAAGACTGGAAACACCAGATGCTGGTATGCAGGTAAAACAACTTACCACACATTGTTGGAGGGAGTGTAAAATATATTTATATATTAAAAATCTAAAAATTTTTGTTCAGTAAAATATACCACAGAATAAGACAATCTGAATAATCAGACAGGGAGAAATGACCACATAAACACTCAAAAGGTTCAGGATATAAAAGGAAATCCTACAAATCAAAACTAAAAATACAAACAGAAACAGAAAAATAAGTACACTATATGAAGAGGCAATTCACAGAAAGGAAACAGGAATAACTGGTCTCACTTGTAAGCCAAGGGTGATCAGCAAAATGCAAGTTTAAACAACAGGGACTGCCTCACCCCCCCTCACCGGCGAACAGTAAATTCCACTGCCACGTGGTGAGGCTGTGGCAGCCTGAGTTCATTCACTGTGAGTGGGAGTGAAAAGTGACAGAACCACTATGGGGTGAAAAAGGGGGGGCAATGTCTAGTCAAGCTCAGTTTGTGTATTTGCTGTGACCCAACAATTGCAATCCTAAGTTATGCTCTAGAAACACCACAGGAGGTGCGGCAGGTACAAGAGGGTTCAGGGCAGCAGTTTGCAAAACAAAAAAGCACAAAATAAGCCAGGCGGTTTCTGACAACGGATGTCTGAGCAAACTATGCATGTCCCTGCAGCGCAGACCTACCTACACAGGGGTGGGCCACAGTAGGTTTGCACAACACAATCACTAATAAACAATAACAAGAATAAACTGTTTCACGTACTCACAGCTGTAAACCTGCTTCTTCCCACCCTGTATGACAATGGAGAGCCAGAGTTTGGTAGAATTCAAACAAGTGGACTCAAACTAGTAGGCCAAGAGTGAGCCTATTCATAGGACTGTCATCATGTGATAAACAAGTATCCACATGTTTCTATACATAGGGATATTCCCTAAGCAGTTTTCATATAGATTACTTTTAACAATGGATAGATTTTACATGAATGAATAGAAAATATAAAACGTGCAGCATAGCCCTGGCCGGTTTGGCTCAGCGGTTAGAGTGTCGACCTGCAGTCCAGAGAGACCTTGGTTCGGTTCCCGCTAAGGGCACGTACATACCTTGGATGCAGTTTGTCCCCGGCCCAGGTTGGGTCATGCGGACGGCAACCACTCAATGTGTCCCTTTCACGTCGATGTTTCTCTGTTTCTTTCTCTCTCTCCCCCTCCCACTCTATCTGAACATAATATGGAAAAATGTCCTCAGGTAAGGATAAAAAACTAAAAATTTTTTAAAAAATAAAATTCAATCTGCAGCATAATGTTATACAATATTTATGTTTCTGTATGTTATGTATTATAAAGAAATGTATGAGAATGATTATCACAAGGCATGTAAGAGTGGCTGGAAAGGAATAACCCAAGAAAGAAGAAACCAAGAATTTGGTAACATTTTATTTCTTCACCTGCATGGTGGATATGGGTATTCACCACATTACATTTATACCTATTTCTAGCTGATAAGTATGTAATATTTCAAATAGAGTTTTAAAGAGAAGCATATAGAAATACTTGCATTCTACATGTCAGAGAGATGGCTAACTGCCAAAAAGCATTAAATAGTTCATAAAACTCCGTAAGTGACAAATATTTCATTCAAATTCATTTGATTCAAAAAATGAAAAAGTGAAATTAACATTAGATATTCTTTCACAAAACATTTACAACACAGATTTTTACTTTTATGTGGGGGGGGGGTAACAACTCCTAAATAAAATTTGCATGTGAATTTAAGACGAAAAAGGCTGCCCGGCTGGTGTGGCTCAGTGGTTGAGCATAGACCCATGCACCAAGAGGTCGCCAGTTCCACTTCGGATCAGAGCACATGTCCAGGTTGTGGGCCCAATCCCCAGTGGGGGGCATGATGGAGGCAGCCAATCAATGTTCTCTCTGATTGATGTTTTTTGGGGTTTTTTTTAAATCCTCACCCAAGGACATTTTTTTTGCATTTATCTTCAGATAGTGCAGGAGGGAGAGAAACATCAATGTGAGAGAGACGACACATCAACTGGTGGCCACACACATGACCGAAACTAGGGCCGGGGACAAACTGCAACCGAGATACGTGCCCCTAGTGGGAACCGAACCTAGAACTCTCTGATCTGCAGGCCGACGCTCTAACTGCTAAGGCAAACTGGCCAGGGCTCTGATCGATGTTTCTACCTCTCCCTCTCTCTTCTCCCTCTCTCTCTAAAAGTCAATAAAGAAAAAATAATAATAAAATAAATAAAAACACAGTATTAAAAAAAAAAAAAAAAGGCTTTCCAGTATGTATACCATTTCAGGAAAATTCAAGTTAAAAACAAGGTGTGAAAGATAGAGGGAAATTGTGCATATCAGCAGTATAATAAATAAGAAAGGGAAGCCAGGGACAGATGGCACAAAATAGCAGTGAGCCTGCATATGGAATGGCAGAAAACGGTGCCTGACTTACATACAATATGAGGAAAGGCAGTTATACAATACTAGCCACGGAATAATTGTTTTATCAAACAGTATTCTCTCACTTGAAAAGTAAGACTGATGCATGCTAGTTTGCACACAGAATGAGTCACGGGGTTGAATCTGTAGGCAAATAAGAGGGAGGGAAGTGTTGGCATTTCTCCAAGTCCAGCTACAGTGGCTTCCACTCTGCTCTACCTACCCCTTCCCCACTGCCCTGAATCAGAGCAGAGAGCATTCATGACAGATGATGACAGTCATACTGCGGCCAGACCAGGCAAGTCATCTGGAACTCACAGAGGGCCAAGGAACAGCCCAGATCCTTTGAAAGATCTTATATAACTATTTTATAAAAGATTTATTCACCAAGTGAGCTCAAAATTTCATTTGAGTCTAACAGGTTATCTACAGCAGATCTGTCCTCAGAGGTCATCAATCTGACCAGAACTAAATTACTTTCAGTGATTTGCTATATCACCCTGGCAGGTTTGGCTCAGTAGTTAAAGTGCTGGCCCATGGACCAAAGGGTCACGGGTTCAACCCCCAGTCAAGGGCACTTACCTGGATTGCAGGTTCAATCCCCAACCCTGATCAGTTGATCTGTCTCTCTCACGTTGATGATGTTTCTTTCTCTCTTTCTCCCTCCCTTCCACTCTATCAAAAATCAACAGAAAAATATCCTCTGGTGAGGATTGATAAAAATAAATAAATAAAAGATAGCCATATCAGCCAAAGGTAACTAAGATACATCCTTGAAAAACAAATATTAAATGTAGACCAAATGCCTGAAGCACTCTCATTTCAGAAAAATAAAGTAAGTAAAATTTAAAAAATAATAATGACTTACAAGGAAGTACCATCTTGACCCACAGAGAAAAGTTAGAAGGTAAAGCGCTGAGCTCCAGAATATATCCCTCTCAGAGGCACAGAAGGAAGAAATGAACAACCTAATCTCTAGTTCTCTAATAGAAATGGCCAGAACTATAAGACCAAACCCCAGATTTATGTCCCCCCAGACAGATGACACCCATGTGTACAATGCGGAATGGATACTGGGCAACAGCAACTGAAACATATGAGGAATCCAGGCACCCCCACGTCTCCCAACAGATGGCTGAGGCTTTCCCCAGAGATAAGAGTATATTGTAAACAAGCTCTATGTACACACAGGTTTTATTTAAGGGAAGTTAAATTTAAATATATATATATATATATATCTTGTACAGAATGAAGTCAAACCACTTAGGAGATGCAGAAGTATCCAAGACACAAACTAAGTTGCATATTTTCATGATTTTTTAAAACTGTGTGCTGGAAGAGCATCAAAAGACTAAAATGTATCTGAACGCTAGTAAAATGAAATAATGTTAGAGACTTTGGAGGGATTAGAGGGTAAATCAGCAACTTGAAGGTTGATGGGCAAATGGGATACTTCTATACCCCCAGAGACAGAAATGTGTCAGGTGGTACCCAAAGCCACTGTATAAAAATGAGCTTGGAACATTCATTCTACTTAAAACATGATACTACAGAATGTAACAAAAAATGACTTTTTTTATGACAATCATCTAAAAATTTCAAGTAGGTAATGAATGGCCTTCTTACCTCTATTATCCTTATGTGCTCCAAAGTGTTGTGCCCACTCTTAGATTAGAAATACCTTAATGAAAACATCTAAAAATAGGAAGGTATAGCCCTGGCCGGTTTGGCTCAGCGGTTAGAGCATCGGCCTGCGGTATGGAGAGACCCAGGTTCGGTTCCCGCTAAGGGCACGTACTTCGGTTGCAGTTTGTCCCCGGCCCTGGTTGGTCGTGCGGGTGGCAGCCACTCGATGTGTCCCTTTCACGTCGATGTTTCTCTCTCTCTCTCTCTCCCTCCCACTCTATCTGTACAAAAAATGGAAAAATGTCCTCAGGTGAGGATAAAAAAAAAAAAATAGGAAGGTATATAAAATTGATGTTAGGGCTATCATAACTTGGAAAGGAAAGTAGAGAACACTAATTCTGTTTGAAGAGACCGAGATTAGAAAATTTTTAATGACCTGCCACAGGGTTCTTAGATGTGAATCCAGGTCAACACTCTCTAAAGAAAAAAGGTTTACTCTATTAGGACTAGAAAGCTCAGAGGTTAAATCTCCCACACTAACTAAAAGTAGGAAAGATAGCCACCTACACATTCATCGAAGTTACTCTACTAGTAATCAGCGGAAAATGAACACCTCTATTTTCAAGTAATCTCTCAGAGATACATGACTTTAAACCAAGACTAAAATATAGATCTTTCCTTTTACTTCCTAAGCCCAGTACAGGTTAATAAGTTTGGTCTTTTTTTAAAGGGTTCAAAAACTCCCTTAGAACATTTTTTAGCACTCGGTTTCCTATGATCTGGCTGGGTGGACACACTGCTGTTCTGCTGAACACAAAACAGTGCACAGTTCTTATAGTGGAAGGATTATGGCCTATCTCTTCACCCTGTAATGACTATCAGAGGATTAAGCAACTGGCCCTGACTGATAGTGGGCAAAAGAAAGAGAATTTCACCCAGGCCTGTTCAGTCAAGTAAGCCAGAATGTAATCAGCAGTGAATAATGAATAATCATATTCATTAGTTACTAAATGCTCTAAGAGACACTGAAAGTAGAAAGAAAAACAATTTTTAAATGATTACTATCCATCAAATGAATCTGTGAGTCTATAAATTTTACAGATAGTGTATGAATGTATTTCATTCTACACATAAGAATCTAAAATAAATAAGGCTGCCAGGGATAACCTCTTACTATTAAACTTCAAAATCTGCTGTTGAAGACTTTGAAAGCAGCAGCTAAGAGTTTTTTTTATTTTTATTTTTTAAATCATCATCTGAGGACATTTTTCCATTTTTTATTCAGATAGAGTGGGAGGGAGGGAGGGAGAGAGAGAGAGAGAGAGAGAGAGAGAGAAACATCGATGTGAAAGGGACACATCGAGTGGCTGCCACCCGCACGACCCAAGCAGAGCTGGGGACAAACTGCAACCGAGGTACATGCCCTTAGCGGAAACCGAACCCGGGTCTCTCAGGACCGCAGACCGACGCTGTAACCGCTGAGCCAAACAGGCCAGGGCAGCAGCTAAGAGTTTTTAAGAAGTCGTCCATCGACAGTTTTGAGTATGTACAGGACTGATTAATATTAAAAAACTTATTGGTGTTATATAATCTGAAGCTTCAGATGGGAGGAAATAGTGTTCTACAGTGACACCTACTGGTAAAGAGCGATTGAGCAACATGACACTATTAAATAAAATAAACAGATGTTACATCTCTGTGGCATGTTAGAAGCTACAGGGAAAGACTGAATAATACTCAAAAGGGAAAAGCTAAACAAACAAAAACATTATACACACCGGTGTCAGTGTACTACAAAATAAGCACCAAAAGATATAATCTTTCTTAACCAAAGATTTTCAAATCAAAAAATTTGAAAGAGGTTTTCTCTGGCCCCAACTAGCCATACAAATCAAATGTTAGGTCCAATTTAGTTATGTCTCATTTATATTTTTAAAGAGCAAAACTGAAACAGGTAAAATTGAGCTATATAGGAAACTAGATATTTACCAGTTTTCAATTTAAGTTGAGTAAAATGAAAAGTAGCACTTGCTTTAAAAAATCTAAGTTATATTAATCCCCAGAGTTTCCGTTTCCAAGCACTGCTTTTCAACGACATGACCACCAAAATAAACAGAAGGCCAGATAGTCACCCTTTCCCTAAAACGCATGCTTCAAGAGACTGGGGCCTTTTCACCCCATACTTTTATACAAAAATTAAGCAATAATAATATTGAATGTGACCAATGTCATCATCAGCTTCAGAGTTCCAAAGCAAAACAACTAAAAATACTCACTACTTGAGCCCTTGTACTTCTCAGACTAAGATTTTTCAAATGTACTGTTTCAAACATAATTTTAGCCACAGGAAACTTAATCGGTGAAACAACAAAAGCACACTTTTCCTAAGTAACTAGCTGTAGTATGCCACAGAGAGAGCCAGAAGGAAACTGAAAAAAGAATCTACCCTCAACTCCAAGACTCTCAAAAATCTTACAAATTATGTAACCCCAAATTCAAGCATTGTGGCATAATGAATGGATTTTTAAAAAGCTGATTTCCAGTCCTGGATGTCCATTAACTAGTTGGGTTTCCAAGAACTACACGATATTTAATGAACTAGACAACCTTTCTGGACTTCAATGACCCAAAAAAACAGAGCAACAAAAGAGAAGTTGGCTATCTTTCAGGTATATACTGCTAATATATATATATATAAATAAAATCACATTGTCACTCTGCAGGGTAACTGTCTGCAACAGAAAGAATCCTCATATCCATCTCCAGTGCATTCTACCTGGCACACAGTCAGAACTCAGTATTTACTGGAAAAAAAACAAAAAACAGTCTGTGGAAAAATAATGTTCATTATGTAACATGCAAGACTCCAATATCAACTCTTGAAATGCTTTGAGGTTTTTGTTTGTTTTGTTTTTATACTAGTACTTTTTAATATATTTGCTTTTACATACTGTCTGTTTCATGACAATTGTGGAATCAACATGTAAAATGCTTAAAAGGTTGTAAATCTTCAAATATGAACAGAAGTTCTAAAATGTCTGAATATGAAAGTCAGAATACAATCAATTAAGTCATAACATTTCCTAAATTTATTATTTGACTGTTAAAACTGGTTCAGTTATTGGTTCAATTCAGTACGTACACATTTCCCAGTATTAATTCTTACCAATAACAGGCAATATCAAGTGGCTTCAGTCCTCTTTACTCAATATCAATAAGGATTAAAAAAAAAAAAAAAAATGAACCAAAAATGTGCTTCCCTTGTAAACAGCTACAGAAACTTTTGAGAACAATTAATATCCAAGTCTTGTTCACCAGTTTTCTGTGTTGGTGCTCAAGTGACACAATGTCTCTTCTCATTCAGAAACTTTAAAAGGAGTAGCCAGGGCCACCTGAGCCAGTTCCTCTACTCTTCAGCCTGTTTAAGTCACTGACTGGTGTTTAAGGACAAGTGACAAAGAACACAAACTTTTTCTTATGTCAAAGGTGAATTAATATGATTACTTTGAACTTAAAACTGTATTTTTCCATTGGCAATGCAAATACTAGTTCTCAGAATGTAAATCTGTGCAATGACTTTAACTGCACCATTTAAATTCATTCATTCACTCATTGATCAAATATTTATTGAGCACCTATTAAGGGCCAAGACCATTCCAGGAGTTATGAATAGGAAAGAAAA